GGCGAGGAGCGCGAGGAGGCGCCGTGGCGCCAGGGCGAGGCCGCCCCTGCCTCCCACCGCAGCGTCACACTGAGGATCGCAGACCGAGCCAGCTCCCAGGGCTTCGGCAGCCCAGAGCTCGCCGTCGCCTGGAACAGGCGGGCTCCTCCGCCCCCTCCTGGGGGGAAGCGTTTCCAGCTAGCCGCTGCTCAGGCCCTCCAGAAGCAGAGCCGCGAGGCCCCCGCCGGAGGATCCAGCAGCGGCGGCAGCTCAGCAGACATCATGAAGCTGGAGAGCATAAGGAGGAAGCTCGAGGCCGCCAGAGCAGCCGAGGTGGGCGTCCTGGAGGAGGAGGAGAAGCGCATCAGAGAGCCGCAGATACAGCTGGCAGAGGCGAAGGAGCGCCGGCGAGCTCGTCGAGCGAGGGATGCCGGCGAGCGTGATGAGGGGCAGACGCCAGCCAGGCATCCCCGCCGTGCCAGCTCCGAACCTCCCAGCGGACAGAACGTGGTCACCCCGCTCGACCCAGCCTGGGAGGACGAGACCCCCCTGCCATCGGCCATCCTGGATGGGGAGAACAAGTGCCACGAGGCGGAGTGCATCCAGAACAACCTGCTCGGGGTCCCGGCCAGCGATCCCGCGGGGCCAGAGCGGAGGAGGAAGGCCCGCGAGCTCCTGATCGAGGGCATCCGCTCCATGTTTGAGGACCCGCCGCGGAGCTGGACTGGCACCCCTTATGAGGAGCAGGGGGAGATCGCGGGCGAGTACGTCGACATCCTTGAGAAGCTGACCCGCAAGATGGCGAGAGCAGGAGAGCTGGACGACACCCCTGCGAAGAAGCGCCAGAGAACCGTGTACGAGAAGGCAGAGGGGGACCCCCCGAGCGACGACGCGGACCTCGTCAAGAGCTCGGAGAGCGAGGTAGTGGAGGAGCCGTACGCGAGTGCGCGGACAGGACCGGCCCCACCCATCCCAGAGGACTCAGACCCCCTGAGCCTCTGGCCGGGGCGCGCAGACACTGCCAGGCGGGGGAAGGAGAAACCTTTCCAGAGCTCTCCTGGGGCGAGCGGCAGCGGAGGCCCAGCCCCGGCGGCCGACCCAGGGCCCTCGGCCGACGCGCCGCCACCGCCAGGGGCTCTCGAAGCCCCCCCCAACCCGACCAGTCCCCCGCGGAGCAGACCCGCCAAAGCGATCCCCCAGAAGGCAGCACCCATGAGGCGGAGTCGCTCAGCGGAGACAGTCGTGGAGCCATGCGGGCCGCGGGCAGGTCGGTGACCTCCAGCGGAGGCCCGCCCGCCGGGAGGGCAGACGCCGGCCGCGCGGAAACACCTGAGGGGGCGCCCACGCCTAGGCCCAGGCCAAGATCGCTGGGCGCCCAATTGCGAGCCACCTCCAAAGGGCGCCCCCCGCAGCCCAAGCCTCGCCAGGATGAGCCTGCGGGGCCGCCCGTGCCCCCGCCCCACACAGTCCAGCCGTTGCTGAGGCCGAGAGGATGGCGCCCGCTCCTCCCCGGCCAGATTTGCCGGCCGCCGGGCATGCCGCCAATGATGCCACCGCCGTGGCAAGCCCCCCCGCGTGGAGGAGGCCGCTGCGGGCCCCCCCCGCTGGAGGAGACACCGGCAGCCGCTGGCAGAGGGAAGGAGCAAGAGGAGGCGCGAGCCTATGTCAAGTGGTGCGCCGACCACCCAGACTTCCAGCCCGAGAGGGTCCCAGAAGTGGTGCGACGAGGTAACTCTCTCCTCCGCCTCGCCGGCAGCGTGGAGAGGGCCGCCGAGCTGCTGAAGCACGCGCGAGAGGAGATCCACGGCAACCCACTGGGCGGCGTGCTCGGGGAGGACGTGCAGAAGTCCTTGGACCCACACCACGCCGCCTACCTCCGAGCGATGGCCACCAGAGGAGTCCCCGTGCAGCGCGCGGAGGAGCGGGTACGCACGCAGGCCAAGTCGCACTTTTCAGCGGTGGACCACGCGCTGGAGATGTTCGAGAAGGCCTGGAAGGACAGTCGCTGCGGCGTGGTCCTCTGGTCCTCTGTGCTCGCCGCCTCGGCCCTGGTCGAGTCGCCCAGCGGGGGGGTCCCCAAGATGCCGCCGGACCGGGCCATCTCGAAGGAGGGCCGGCCGATCCACGACATGCGCGCGGCCAACGCCTTCTCCCCGAAGGAACAGGACCCACCAGCCAAGCAACCCCTCCACATAGGGCTCGCTCGACTCAGCCTCTGGTGGGAAGCAAGGCACCCAGGCGTTCAACAGGTGGTCGCGAAGAGGGACGTGGCCAGGGCCTTCAAGTGGCACCACCAGGAGCTTGCAGCAGTGCCCGAGTTCGGGACGACGCTCCCAGGCAAAGAGGTCGGGGTGCCAGGGCGAGTGATCCTCATCCACGGCGTGCTGGTCTTCGGCTGGGCCGGTAGCCCAGGTGAGTACATGGCGTTCGCCTGGGCAGCCAAGAGCGAGCATGAGAGGAGGAAGCCGCCGGCGCCCAGGATCAACGACACCGTCAAGTATGCTTCCAAGTGGTTGATGGACGACGGTGTCGTCCTCGAACCGCTGGTGGGCCTCAGGCCCTGGCTCTCGGCCGAGGAGCTCGACGGGGCCATGGAGCGGGTCTGGGGCCCGGACGCGGTCAACGAGGAAAAGCTGGACGTCGAGGGGGAGTTTGCCGCCGAGCAGCTGATCTGGGGCCTCCACATGAACTTCAACACTGTTCAACACGAAGGTAGTCAGGCTCCCAGAGCCTAAGTGCATCAAGGCCCAGTACCTGCTCGCCCTCCCGGAGCTCAGGGGATCACGGCGGGTGCCGTTGAAGGTCGCCCAAGAGCTGCGAGGCTGTGCTCAGTTCTAGGCCTCAGCGCAGCCTGCCCTCCGCCCTGAACTACCAGCCCTGGACCGGCTCTTGAGCAGCGGGACGAGCTGGGCGGAGCCACAAGGTTCCCCCGAAGAGGTTGAGCTCGCCTGGGAAGAGTGGGACGCCTCCGTGAGCTTCCTGAGGATGCTCTTTGACGTCCCCGAGGCTTGGAGCACGACCTTCCAGGCGAGTTTCACGCAGGCGCTCTCCGTACGTGAGCGCCTCGCGTTGCCGGGAACAGCACGCGCTACGAGGTGGACCGGCGGCGACGCCACCACCTCCTCAATCGGCGCCATCGACTGGGGACGTGCAACTGCAGAAGGAGCTCCGCCCACGCCGGAGTACATGGCCGTGGATGCCGAGCCCCTGCTCGAGGCCCTGAGCCAGGCGGTCGGGGGGGGGAGCAGCGAAGAGGATTGGATCATCGCGGTGGTCGAGCTGTTGGCAGTGGTCGCGCTGGCCACGAAGCAGGGCCCGAAGTGGGAGGGTGAGCTGGTCTTCTACGTCACAGACATTCAGAACGTGAAAGCGTGGCTCACTAAGAGGAGCCCCAAGAACACCCTCGCACGCCACCTGATTCGCCTAGTGGAGAGGATCGAAGCCATGCACGGATGCCGCATCACCTCCTTCTTTGTTCCAATTTACCACAACGAGTTGGCCGACTGGCTCACCCGCGAGGAGGTCAAGAAGGTTCACGACACGCTGGCTACCGAAGGATGGGAGCGCCTCGAGCCCCCTGCAGCCTGGGGCCAGATCCTGGAGGACGCCAAGGAACGCCTCCTCCGTCTCCCAGAGGAGACGGGCCCAGTGGCCGAAGCCGCCCTGCGACACCGATCACTCCAGAGGGGGCATGGGCCGCCGAGACCCCTCCCGCTCCACGGGAAGCTGGGCAGAGAGGTGGGGAGCCTCCTCAACCCTTACGTGAAGGCCCTCAAACGCCTTGGTGGGTCAGAACCCGAGGAAAACCAGAAGGCGGACTGGCTCATGGCGTCACTGTCCCTGGGCCCAAGGGCAGAGAGATGGAGGCGTTCCTCATCGCAGCGACCAGCGAGAGCCCCGAAGTGGTGATCGTGGACGCCCCGGACGGTGTGGACACGGCCAGGCTCGAGAAGGCGCTCAAGCAGCTGGGCTACGTGGTCGCGAAGTTCGAGGTAATCTGCACGCACCACGGGGATGCCACCGCGCGGACCAGGCAGGTGCTCACAGGCGGACGTCGGAAGACGGGGGCAGGCCTGGCGAGCATTAACATGCCGCCGGCCTGCTCGCGGGCTGCCAGCATCAAGCCACTTTTGGACAGGGGGAGGGACCACCTTTGGCTCGACCAGCAAGGCGAGGTGTCGTGGGACCCCCGCGTCCAGTCCACTAGCGACCCCCTTCTCCTCAAGCCGGTCGGCCACCTCAAGAAGGACGGGGTGAAGCACCTGATCTACAGCGAAGAGGGGCCCGTGGGCGCCATCCGCTGGCCCGGGACGGGACCCCAAGTACCAGGCGCCACGCTCTTCCGGGTCGCCGGGGGAGGCAAAGGCGCGGTCCGAGCCTTGACATTCCAAGAGGTTTGGCGGGTGCAGGGAGGGACCGACGACGAGTGGGCCAGCCTGCAGGCCCAGGGTTCCACGGAGGATGAGCTCCTGAAGGGCGCAGCCAGAGCCCTCCCACCGAGGGCCGCAGAGGCAGTGCTGGGCGCAGTGGCGGAGGCTCTTAGCAGCACCAGCACGCAGCGCGCCGGAGTATGCCATGACCCCGAGGAGCAAGCCGCGTGGGGGGCCACCAAGCGCTGGTTTCGCGCCTGGGCGCAAGCGCCGGATCGACCCACGCTCGCGCTGGCGGCGGAGGGCGAGGCAAGAGCAGGCGGCGCACTCACCGACGAGATGCACAAGAATCGCAGGCGTGCCCAGGCGATCCGCTTCTGGGAGATCGACGAGGACGCGATCATCGGACCTCGCGAGGCCCTAGCCGCAGAGGCGGTCAAGCTGGACAAGCGAGTGACCCGTTCGAAGAGCCCACGCAAGAAGAGCACCCGACGAGCCAAGGAGATGCCAGCGGCCAACCTGGTGAAGCCGCAGGCGCTGGGCATCGCGAGGAAGAGCAACAACCCCGGGAAAGAGCTCGCCCCCGCCGGCCGTGCTGAGCCAGGCGGGGCCGGCTACGCCAGCTGGTTCGCGCAGCAGAAGACGGAGGCCATGCTGCAAAAACTCAGCGAAGGCACGAGAGCGGGCTACGAGGGGGGATGGCGGCTCTGGGTAGCCGTGCGCCAGGCGCAGGGGCTTAGCCCTTGGCTCCCAGGGCGCGACCGCGAGGAGCGCCTAGCCGATGAGGAGGCGCTCATCAACTTCGCCGTCCTCCTCGCGCGGGTCGTCGGGAGGACCGAGGGGGCCATCAAGCAGAAGCTCTTTGCGGTGCGCTACGCTCACCTGGTAGCTGGCTACTCGGACCCCCTGCTCCACAGAGGTCGCCTCTGGAGCACCCTGGCGGGGCTCAAGCGCTGGCAAGGACCCGAGACCAAGCGGTAGAAGCCCGTCACCCCAGCCATGCTCGAGTGGCTCCGCGGCTTCCCCCAGCAAGAGGCCGAGCTCCCCGAGGAGGACGCAGAAGTCATCTGGGCGGCGATCGTGACGGCGTTCTTCTTCCTCCTGCGGGCCTCAGTTTATCTCCTCCAGGACGGGCGCTCGTGGTCCTTCGAGCGCGTGCTGCACGGGGAGGACGTGGAGCCCAGAAAGGCCGGCAAACGCGTGCCCAGCTTTCAGGGCGCCGACGAGATGGTGATCTACATCAAGGGCAGCAAGACGGACCAGCTCAACGTCGGGACGGTGAGGAACCACTACCGCGCCGGCACGACGCTCTGCCCGATCGCGGCGATGGAGCGGCTCCAGGCTCACCATCCCCAGCGGATAAAGGGCACCGAAGAACGGCTGCCCATTTTCCGCTGGGCGTCAGGTACGCCAATTCGCAGGGCCGAGGTGCAGCACTTCCTGACGGTCGCGGGGCTGGCCGCCGGGCTTTCCAGGGAGGAGATCGGCAGCCGCTCCTTGAGGATCGGCGGAGCGACCGCGATGTACCACGTGACCGAAGACCTCTCCCGGGTGCGCCGGCTCGGGCGCTGGCAGTCAGACGCGTTCCACGGCTACCTGTGGGAGTCGCACGAGCCGACGAAGGGCGTCTCCAGCAAGATGGCCAGGGACACCTCCTCGCTGACCAACCCGGCGAAGGACGGCGCCCCCGCCAGGGCCGCCGCCGGCGCCGAGGGCGCCAGGCGTGAGAGCCCATGACGAGGGGCCGCGGCGGGCGCCGCCGGTGCAGGTACACCTGGCGTGCGCCCAGCCCAAGCCGCCGGCCTAACCGCCGCGCGTGCTTGGAGGCTGCAACTCAACGCCCGCGCCGCCGGCACGCCAGCCGCGCGGCCGCAGGACATCCCCCGCCCGCGCATCCAGCACTGGCCAATACTTTCGCGCTGTCAGGCGCGCGCGGGCTTGCCCGCTTCGGGCTCCACTAGTGCTTGGGATATTGTGGGCGCCCTCTGCAATCGCCGAACTGGGGCCATGCTGGGCCCGCCTGGCGCGCCAGCTCCTCTCGTCGAGCCTGGGCGTGCTAGGCGCACTGCAGCCGGCGCAAGTCGCGGCAGCTGACGGCCTGACAGCTCAGCGTAGCCCGCGGCACCAGAATTCAAGCGCGGGGTACGGGCCCGCCCACCAGCGCTGGCCCAGGGAACCCCCTCTGTCAGGGGCCGGACCCTGCCCGCCCCGAACACCTATGGGGGGGCGGGGGGCCGGGAGAACTGCGAGGCCGCAGCGCGCACGGCGGGCACCGCGGCGCCGGCATCAGCCAGGCGCCGCCCGCGGCGAGTTCGGGCCATGGCCCGAGATCGGGCTCCGCCGGCAATCAGTGCGCCAGCTTGAGCCCCGGCCTAACCTCACGGAGGACAGCCGTGCACGCCGGCATCAGCTGCCTGGCGGCAAGCGGCCAGCAGGAGGGCCAGTTGGGCTCCATGCGCGCGCCGGCGCCTGCGCCCGGCTGTGCGCAACACAGAGGCTAGATGGTGCCGGCTGCACAGAGCCTGGCACCCAATTTTGATGGCGCCAACCACGGCGCCCGCACAGCAATGCTGACGTGCAGGGCCCGCCAGACCAGCGTGTAGCGTCACTGGCAGCGTGCGCCAGCACCGCTAGAACAACGGCGGCGAGGCCCGCTTCGCGTGGCGGAAGGAGGGGTCCGCCTGGCGCCAAGGGCGCCAGCGGGAGCGTGCGGCCAGCGCAGCAGCAAAAAGGTGTGCCGCGCAGGCATCATCATCATCGTCTCCTGAGGGCCCGCCTCTGACCGCTTCGCGGCTGGCACGTCCCGCGGCCTTGCAGCAGGCCGCGTTTTCGCTAGCGCCGCACTGTGGGGGCGGGGTCTCAGTTGTTTGTCCTAAACGGTTGGACCCCGCCCTCCCCAGTCGGCTTGGGTTTCCTCTTTCTCCCCCTCTGCTTGCTCCTCTCTCTCCCTCTCTCCCGCTCAAGCCTTCGGGGCTCAAAGCCCTCCCAGGGCCCCAACGGGCCCTCTTTTGCCCGCCCACCCTGGGCTTTGCTTCGGTGTCTAAAGGCACCGCGGCGAGGCCCGCTTCGCGTGGCGGAAGGAGGGGTCCGCCTGGCGCCGAGAGCGCCGGCGGGAGCGTGCGGCCAGCGCAGCAGCAAAAAGGTGTGCCGCGCAGGCATCATCATCATCGTCTCCTGAGGGCCCGCTTCTGACCGCTTCGCGGCTGGCACGTCCCGCGGCCTTACAGCAGGCCGCGTTTTCGCTGGCGCCGTATTTTGGGGGCGGGGTCTGTGTCTGTGTGTGTGTGTGTGTGTGTGTGTGTGTGTGTGTGTGTGTGTGTGTGTCCGTAACCCTTTGGCTCGAGCCCCTTTGGCTCAAGCCCTTTTGGCTCAAGCCGCTTTGGCTCGAGGGGGGCCGCAGCGGCTCGCGCCGCGGGGCTGGCGGTTGCCCGACCGCCGTCCCTGGCCCCTGCCCGGGGTGGGGCTGTGAAGGAGTTTCCTTCCGTCACGGCCCCCCCCCCCCGCGCGCGTGGATTCCCGCTCCGCCCTGCGACGCCGCTAGCGGCGGCGCACGGCCGCCGGCTGAGCTTATGGGGCAGCTGCCCGCGCTGCGCCGCCTTGCCTCGCGGATGGCCGCCCTGCCGCCCTTTCCTCGCGACCGGCCGCCGCCGCCGCCGTCTGGGCTGGCGGCGGCGCTTGCTGGCAGCCTGCCATTGCGCCTGCCGCTGGCCCTGCTGGCGGGCTGGCCGTCGGCTGCCTGGCCGCGGCCGCTGCTGCGAGCGGCGGCCGCGGCGGCCGCCTTCTTTTGGTTGGTCGTATCCGCTGGGGCCCGGGCCGCTGCGCTGGCGGCTCGTGCGGCTGGCGCGCCCCAGGCGGCCGCCGCTGGGCGGACGGCTTCTTGAGCCTCTGGAGGCAGCTTTGCCTGGGCTCGCTGCCAGGGTGGCCTGTGCCACTGCCGCTGCGTCCCAGCTGCTGCGAGCGACGGCCACTAGCACCGCTGCCGCGGCGGGCTTCTTTGCTGTGGCCAGGTGCCGCTGCCGCTGCCGCTGCCGGGCCTGCCGTTCAGGCGGCCGTCGCTGGGGCCGCTTCGGTGTTGTCGCGCGGGGCGGCTTGCGCCGCTGCCGCGGCGAGTGGCGCCGCGCAGCCTGGCCTTCCGGCTGGCCGTCCTGCCGCCGCCGGTGCCGCTGGCCGGCCCGCGGCCCTTGCCGCTGCCACGGCTGCTGAGGCCGTCTCGGCGGCCTGCGCCGGGGCTGTTTCCGCCGCCGAGGCGGCCGTGGCTCGGGCTCGAACGTGCTGGCCCCTCGAGGTTGGCGCCCCCAGAGCTCTCTTCCCAGGAGCAGGAATTGTTGGGTGGGGGGGCCCACGAACAGAGCTCCTAGGTGGGTGCGGACGTCGGACCAGCTGGCGACCTGGTCTGGACCTGGTGGCGACAGGGTCGGCTGCGGGCCAGGATTTTTTTGGGTGGGCGGGCTCAAGAACAAAGCTACCAGGAGGGTGCGGGGGTCGGACCAGGTTGCGACCTGGTGGCAACCTGGTGGCGACAGGGTCGGTTCTGGTCCAGGAGTTATCGGGTGTGGGAGTCCAAGAGCACAGCTTCCAGGAGGATGCGGGGGTCGGACCAGGTGGCGACCTGGTGGGGACAAGGTCGGTTCCGGGACAGGAATTATTGTCGAGTGGGGGGCCCCGAAACAGAGCTCCCAAGAGTGTACGGGGGTCGGATCAGGTGGCGACCTGGTGGAGACATTGCCGGTTCCGGGCCAGGACTTGTCAGGTGGGGGAACCCGAGAACAGAGCTTCCAGGAGGGTGCGGGGGTCGGAACAGGTAGTGACCTGGTGGGGAATTCCGGGCGAGAAATTATGAGGAGGGGGCTTCAAGAACAGAGTTCCCATGACGGTGCGGGGGTCAAATTCGGGGGTCAAGGGTCTGAACCTATACACAGCTGCCTCGCAGGACCTCTGAGCACGGCGCTGTACCCCACCAGTCAGCTGGTCTGGTCTGTTTGCGCTGCACTGCCTAACACCGCCATGTCGGTAATCCAGTGGCCGCCAATTCTCACCATGCTGATCGCGCATCAGTCTACTTCGAGTTGAGCCGCCTCCTTTTTCTGGCCGCTGCACGTTTCGCTTGGATTTGCAGCTCCTCCTTCACGCCACCCGTCGCTGCGTTGACAGTGCGCACGCTTTGTTCATTGCGACTTCGACAATGCTCGATCGCAATCAGCACTTCCATCTGCTGCTCGCACCTGATCCTCTGCGCCGCTGACTTAAAAAGTGTGTGTATGTTTGAAGTGGTTCGGCTTTGTGGCGAGCTCTGACACCGGCTCCCCCACTCCACAGAAACAGCGGCGCAGCGCCTTTACCGCCTTCTCCGTGAGGCCTACGGCGCGCCGGGCCTTGCGACGTGTACCCCCAGACTGGGTATGCCGCGTCTATGGCTCTCCGACCCCCATGGTCCCTGGATCACCTACTGGTCCAAGAGGCTCGGCTCTCAGACATCAGGACCAGTCCCGCTGGATCCAGGAACCGTACCATTTTCTTGGAAGCTGCCGGTCATTCTCTCGGGAAGGACATCCGACTCGTCCTTTTGCCGCTTACCCTCATCATCATTTTCCAAACCGTGGACGAGAACCATATTCACTGTGATTGGTACCCTTGTATAATTGTTTCCTTGGTCCATCCTTGGCCACCTTCGTTGGCCACGCCCGCTCAAAAAAACTTCGAAATCGCTTTCCAAGGCCCTTGTATCCTTGTCGTGCGTCCTTATCATATGGGTTGACTGTGCTGCCTCTTTTACAGCCAGCCGCTGCCGCAGTCGATCGAACTGGTCTGGCCGCAGCCAGGTCGCCCATAGCAGAAGGGACGAGCTTGAAACATGCACGAAGATGCTGCTGATGTCTCGATGACAGGCGAAGGGCGAAGCGTTCCTGCAGTGCCCGAGTAAGAGCGCCGTTCTTGCAAACGGGGGTGGATCAGCCTTGCGTTTAGCAGAGTAACGCCGACGCCCTCGCCGCCGCTCACGAGGCGCCTGTGGATACGATTGGACCGCCAGTCGTAGTGCGTGTGGCATTTTTTCCCTTTTGGTTTCCCAAAAGTCGGCGTCTTGCGAGAAGAGGAGGATGAGGAGGAGGAGGAAGAGGGGACGAGGAGGAGGCAGAAGAGTACCTGCGACAGTTGTCTGGGCTGCTGGGCCCTGGCGGTCTTGTGCTGGACCCAAGCAAGACGAAGGTCTGGCTGCCCCCTGGCACTGCGCACTGTCCGCCCTCCCTCCGGCAGTGCGTGAAGGACGAGCTCCAGGTGGTGGGCTGCAGTCTGACGCGCCGACTGGACGACGACTGGGACGCCCTGGCCGCGGGAGCTGGAGGCGGGGTGCGCGCCATGGGCGCCGCCGCCGAGACGCTCTGGGCTTTCGGGCAGACGCTCCGGGAGGCGAGGGCCGCAGGACTGTGGCCACAAGAGGCAACGGCGATGCTGAGGTGGACAGCCCAAGGCTTACCGAACCACCTCCTTCGCGCGCACCTGCAGGACCTGGTGGCCGTCCGGGCCTATGACACGGTGCTTCGCGGCCTCTGGAATGACGTCCTGGGCGTTGACATGTCCGATCGGGAGTGGGTGCAGTCCTGTTTGCCCCTCCGGGATGGCGGTCTCGCGGCCGGCGCGGCCGAGCCTCGGCGGGAGGCGGCGCACATCGCCGCGTGGCTCGATGGCTCGACGCCTCCCCGCGGGTTGCGGCGGCGCTTGGGGCCCCCAGCGCCGAGGCTCTCCTCGCCGCGCGCGCTGCGGGCACGCAGGGATTTGAAGCCGTTGTGGTGACGTGCAACGCTTCGGTCGGCGCTGCCCACTGCCTACAGACGTCGCTGGCCCAGGGAGAGCGCCACCGACAGAAGGACCTGGTGGGCCCGCGGATGGAAGTGATCGCAGGCGTCGCCAGAGCTGGCCTGGACCACCGCGAGCGCGGCCGCCTGCTGTCCGCCGGGGGCCCAGGTGCTGGTGCCTTCACCATGTTGCCGACTAAGCCTGAACACAGAATGGCTCCTGAGCTGTACCGCATCTCGTTGCGGCGGCGCCTTCTGATGACGGGCGCGCGGCTGCTGCGCGGACTGGAACCGCAGACGCATTGTCGAAACACATCCCGAGAGGGGGTGCTTTGCGGAGCGGTTTTGGACACCGACCAGCGCCGCGCCTTGGCGTGCGAGACGGGAGGGCGCCGCGTGGCGCGACACGATCGCATTCGCGACCTGCTGGCCCGCTGGCTTGCCCGGCGCGTCCCAGCATGGGCCCAGAAGGAGCAGACTGTGCCCCAGTGGCAAAGGGCCCGCCGAGCTGTCGTGGATGGGGTCGAGACTGCGCGTGTCGAGACGGCGGTCCTTGACGTCGTCTGGGCCCGCCAGAGCTGCACCAGGGCGGTGGGCGTGGTCGTGGCTAGCCCGGACAGTACTGACGAGAGGGAGGCGCGTGCTCGGGCGGCGAAGGCTGGCCTCGCCGCGGAGGACGCGGCCCGCGACAAGGCGCGCCGGTGCCCGCCGGGACCCACGACACCTTTGCTCATTCCTTTCGCGATCGAAACTGGGGGACGAGTGGGCTCTTCTGCGAGACAGCTGATCCTGGATCACCTGGACCGCTCTGACGGAGAGGCAGGAGCGTCTGCCGATGCGGTCGCTTTCTGGCAAGAGCTCAGTGCTGTTCTGCAAACGGCGGTGGCTGAACAGTTACTCAGCGCCCGCGAGCCCCCTGTCGTCGGGGGCGGGCGCTGAGCACAGTCTGCAGCAGGAGGTGAAGGAGGAGGAGGTGGAGGAGGTGGAGGAGGAGGCGGAGGCAGAGGGCGAGGAGGAACTCGCTGAGGGCGAGGAGGTGGCGGTGGCAGGACCAGTCCCAGGCCGGTGAGTGCAGAAGAGGAAGAAAAGTGGTAGAGGGGCTGAGGGTGAGGAGGACCTGCAGAGACAGCAACGCTCGACGACACGACGCCCGCCCCCCGCCCCCCGTCCCCGTCTCCTCGTCCCTCCTCTCTCCCCCCTCCTTGGCTAGTGCTCGCTTGCGGAGCCCATTCCCCATGCAGCTTTTGGGCGTGCCGGCCCATCCGCTATCAACTTGCTGCCTTGCTGTGCGGTGCGTGAGGCACAGCCCTGAAGGTGTGCTCCTGTCGCGGGCCTGCTGAGGGATATCGCCCCTCTCGGCAGAGCCAACAAAAGTCCTCCGGATGGAGGCACCCTTCAGTTTTGATTTCAGTTCAGCGGTCAAGGCCCTCCCGCTGCGGACAGGTGTCCTCGGTGCTGTCTTATCCGTCCCCCGAGATCTGGGAATCGCTCAACCCGCCCGACTTGGGAGGCCCCTCGCTGAAGGCGGGGGCCTCGCATGTTGTACAATTCATCCTCGTGGGACTGTCGGCCGACACGCCTGGCCCAGGTGGTCACTGGCCCTAAAGGGGGGCTAGTGCCTGGGTCGCGGATCAGCCGGAGGAGGAGGAGGAGGAGGAGGAGGAGGAGGAGGAGGAGGAGGAGGAGGAGGAGGAGGAGGAGGAGGAGGAGGAGGAGGAGTCCTCTCGAAAGGCGCGGACGGCAGAGCCTTCCCCTCCTCCTCCTGCTTCTCCTCCTCCTCCTCCTCCTCCTTCTCCTCATCCTCCTCCTCCTTCCACTCCTCCTCCTCCTGCTCCTCCTCCTCCTCCTCCTCCTCCTCCTCCCCTTCCCCCCGAGTCCCACTCTTTCCCCCTTCTCCCTCTTCCTGTTCGTCTCCCCTCCTATTCCTTCCGATCCCCCCTCGTGCTACCTCCTTGTTTCCCCCCCGTGCCAGGCCGGCGGTGTCGTCGGCAAGGGCGGGGACAATCTGAAGAGGGTACGGGAGGAGCGCATCAGCTGCGCGTCCTCGTTGTCAACCGAAAGGTTTTCCCTTTTCATTACATCCCGAAATGTCCTCCCCAACCGGACCCCTCGGGTATGAAAAAATCACGACCGGAGGTTGTTCGCCAGTTTCGGCCTCCAGGGGCCCACGCGGGGCCCCAGGATCGCAAAACAGCTCGGGACGAAAGGCCGCTCCTGGGAAGAGTGAGGGGGAGGAGGAGGAGAAGGAGGAGGAGGAGGAGGAGGAGGAGGAGGAGGAGGAGGAGGAGGAGGAGGAGGAGGAGGAGGAGGAGGAGGAGGAGGAGGATGAGGATGAGGAGAGGAGGAGGGAGGAGGCTCGCTTCATGTTCCCTCGTTCCCCCTCCCGCTCCCCCTCCCCCTCCCTCCCCCTCCGTTCATGTTCCCCCTCCCTCCCACTCCCTCCCCCCCCCCCTCCCCCCCCTTCCCTTCATGTTCCCTTCTCCTCCCTCCCCCTCTCTCCCCCTCCCCCTGCCTTCATGTTCCCTCCCTTCTCTCTCGTCCCTCGTCCTTGGTCCTTCGCCCCCTCGTCCCTCGTCCCTTGTCTCTTGTTTCTCTTCCTTCCATCCTTCGCTTTCCTCTTTGCTCCTCGTCCTCCTCTAGTTTCCTCCTTTCTCGTCCTTCCCCCTCCTCCCTCCTCCGTGCTCCCTCTCCATCAGGGGAAGGAGGAGGTACATGAGGACTGAGAAGAGAGGAGGAGGCGGGGGGCCAGAAACATAGGGGACATGAGGGGCGGTAGGGTAAATTGAGGACAATTTGGAGCACACGCATGTAGCTGTGCTGAGACGTTCATGTCTCGTATTGACAGAACGTTGATTTGTCACAATGTGGAGGCGACTGGTCTGGCTTGTTCTGGTCACGGTCCAAGACGGACCACAGGTCGCAAGCAGGGCGCGCAAGAACACCGCAAGAGGGCCCAAGACGGACCCTGACGGCCCCAAGACCTCCGCAAGGCCCAAGACGGCCCAATGCGGCCCCAAGGTGGCTCAAAACGGCCCCAGAAAGCGACACGGTGGTCCAAGAGGGCGCCTGAAGGACACCCGAGCGGCCAATCAACAACTGACTCAGCTTGGATACGCTTCGGCCTCTCCGCCGTTTCGGCTCCAGACGACTCCAAGAAGTCGAGCCCTAGGGAGCTCAAGAGAGCTCTTTGGGGGCCCCCGGCTCTCGAACGGCCCCGGATGGTCCCATGAAAGCCTGAAGACCGACAGCGTGGGCCACCGGTCGGGCTCAAAACGGCCAGCGAATCCCCCAAGACGGCCCAGGAGGGCCTCCAGAGCGTCTCCAGGTGCCCCTTGGTAGGCCCAAGGCGACGCGGAGTGGGCGCGCGAACGTCCCGAGAAGGCCACCAACGGGCCCGAAACACTACGCGACGGCTGTATTAGTAGGGGGACGGTCAGAGAAGAAGACACACACACACACACACACGCATATGCATGCATGCATGTATGCATGCATGCATGCATGTATGTTATGCATGTATGTGTGTATATGTATGTATGTCTGTCTGTCTGTCTGTCTGTCTGTCTGTCTGTCTGTATGCATGCATGCATGCATGCATGCATGCATGTATGTATGTATGTATGTATGTATGTATGTATGTATGTATGTATGCATGCATGCATGCATGCATGCATGCATGCATGCATGCATGCATGTATGTATGCATGTATGTATGTATGCATGTATGTATGCATGCATGCATGCATGCATGCATGCAGGTATGCATGTAGGCATGCATGCATGCATGCATGCATGCATGTGTGTATATATGTATGTATGTATGTCTGCCTGCCTGTCTGCCTGCCTGCCTGCCTGCCTGCCTGCCTGTATGTATGTCTGTATGTCTGTATGTCTGTATGTCTGTATGTCTGTATGTCTGTATGTCTGTATGTCTGTATGTCTGTATGTCTGTATGTCTGTATGTCTGTATGTCTGTATGTCTGTATGTCTGTATGTCTGTATGTCTGTATGTCTGCATGTCTGTATGTCTGTATGCATGGATGTATGTATGTACGTATGTATGTATGCATGCATGTATGTATGTATGCATGCGTGCATGCATTCATGCATGCATGTATGTATGTATGTATGTAATGGCCTTCGGCTCATCCCGCCACCTTGCCTGGATTGTGGGTCAGAGTCCTCAGGGATGCTTCTTGGGGTCTCTTCGGAGCGCTCTCGGGGGCCCTTCGGGGGCAGCTTTGAGGCCTCTTGGAGGCCTCTTGGCGGCCTCGGTGGGCTTCCTGGGGGCCTCTTGGCGGCCTCTGGGGGCCTCTTGGGAGCCTCCTGGGGGCCTCTCGGGGCCGAGAGTTCGAAATAACGCTCGGGTCCCCCGTCTGCGCCCCCTCTTGGAGCCGTTATGGGGGCCTCCTTGGCCGTCTTGGAGGCCTCTAAAGCCGTCTTGGTGCTCTCTTGGGCCGTTTTGGGGCCCTATTGGAGGCCTCTTGGCCCGTCTTGGAGCGTCGGGAAGCCGAAGAGGCGAGAACGCTTAAATCCTCCGACTCCCTGAGGACAATCAATTAATTTTGGCCTCTTGGGTGCGCTTGGAAGGCCTCATGGAGGCCTCTTAGGGCGTCGTGGAGGCCTCTTGGGCCGTCTGGAGGCCATCTTGGGCGTCTTGAACCAATCGTTCGGCGACGGACTCAGAACGCTGGAGATATGGCAGCTTGGGGTCCGGGTCCCGTAAGAATTCTGAATCCAGATGACTGAGAATTGCAACAAGGCACCTGAGGACACGCCTACTTTGTGTCCGAATGTACGGTGGCGGATGTACATATGCATGCAGTCATGTACGTATGCATGTATGTGTTGGCAGGGGTGTATAGTTTATAATGGATTTAGATGCACATGCATAGTCATGTAAATCTATGCTTATGTGTGTATTAGCACGTCTGTGTGTACATATATATATATATATATGTATATATACATATATATATATATATATATATATATGCACGTGTAAGAAACTCATGTGGTACGTGCGCGCCCAGGTTTGTATGCAACAAGGCGGGTCACCAATGGGGATGCCACAGCTTGTGCTTAGAAGCGATGTTGGCAACAGGGCATTCTGCCGCTGCTGGAAGTGGGGGGCTGGAGGATTCTCCCCCCCCCCACACGAAACTGGGGGGGGGGGGGTCCAGACCCCCCCCCCTGGGAAAAGTATCGTGGGGGTCTAGCAAGCACCACCCCCCATCTTCCCGCCGCCCCCCCCAGGAAAATTGTTCGAGGGGTTCAGAATAGCTCCCCCCCCTCCCCCTCCTCAGCAACGACGAAGTCGACGACGACGACGCCGCCGCCGCCGCTGCCGACAAACGACGCGGACGACGACGCCGACGACGACAACGACGACGACGACGATGACGGTGGTGGTGGTGGTGATGATGATGATGATGATGATGATGATGATAATGATGATGATGATTCACTTGATGATGATACTGCTGCTGATGCTGATGATGCTGAACCTAATGATGATGCTGATGATGACATTGAGTCTAGACATGAATCTTATGATGATGATGCTGTTGATGGTGATGATGATACTGATAATGATGATGCTGCTGCTGCTCATGATGATGATGCTGCTGATGATGCTGATGATTAGGACGATGATGATGCTGCTGATGCTGATGATGCTGATGATGCTGATGATGCTGCTGCTGATGATGATGACGATGATGATCATACTGATCATGATGCTGATGATGTAACCATGGCCGCAATGGGTGACGCACAATGCGATTGGCCCGTGCTGTGACCTACGACTATGCTGCGCCGTGCTGCGTTGAACTGTGTTTTTCTCTTTTGAGTCGTGCATCGGCTTTTTGGTGCAGCACCTGCCGCGGTACGCGCCAGTGGCGCGCCATGTGACTTGCTGCGGGACGCGCCGCGGGGCGCGCCAGGGGACTTGCCGCGGCAAGCGCCAGGGAACTTGCCGCGGGACGCGCCATGGGGCGTGCATCGCGACGTGCCAGGGAAAAGGACACCGGGGGACGCGCCAGGGGGGCGCGCCAGGGGAACGCCAGGGGATGTGCCAAGGGACGCGCTAGCGGACGCGTCGGGTGACGTTCCGGGAAGGGTCCCAGGGGACGCTCCAGGGGACTTGCACAGTGACGTGCCAGGGGACGCGCCAGGGGACGCGCCAGGGGACGCGCCGCGCGACATGCCAGCGGGACGCGCCGCGGAACGTCCCAAAGGACGCGCCAGGAGACGTGTCGAGGAACGCGGCGCGCGGCGTGACGAAGATCGAGCCCTAGTAGGATGCGATTATCATTGGATCAAGCCTAGTAGGACTCTACCAAGGCTGGATCGAGCCTGTTAGGTATCTGTTAGAGCTGGATCCAGCCCCAGTCGGATTCTATCATAGCTGGATCGAGCCCTGAAAGGATTCCATTAGAGCTTGATCAAACTCGACACATAGTTTGTGGTATTGGCCCCATATGGAGCTCCACCCAGTGCTTCAATGGCAGACTTCGGATACGGTTCCTGCTCCATTTCGGCACGCTTCTCACACATTTCGGTGCCCCATGGGGAGCTCAATCGACGGCCCAGTGGCAAAGGTTGCATGCATCCCCGCGCCCATGTCGGCAAACCCCTCACACGTTTCGTGGCTCCACAGGGAGCTCCATCGCAGTGACCAGTGGCAAAGGTGACATGCGTCCCTGCGCCCATGTCGGCACACCCCTCACATGTTTTGTGCTCCACAGAAACGGGCCCAAGGTCATTCCTCTTGCTCCTCCTTTGCCACCCTCGTCCTCGTCCTCGTCCTCCCCCTCCTCCTCCTCCTTCTCCTCCTCCTGTTCCTGTTCCTGTTGCTCCTCCTCCGCCTCCTCCTCCTCCTCCTCCTCCTCCTCCAGCCCCCGGGCTCGAGAGATTGAGGGGACGGGGCCCGAGCATCTAATTCAGTATGTAGCCCAAGGCGCCTCGGCCGCGCGGCCGTATTTCCGCGTCGGGGTGACCACCGACATGTCGAAATTGAGG